CCGCCGAGGTGGCGGTTGGCGGCGGCTCCGGCTGCGCGGTTCAATAACGAGTGAGTTGCAATAACGACTAACAAGCGTCGAGGCTGGGCACAGAGGCAGGAATATTCCCTTGCGGGGACGTTTTTTCCCCCCTCTCCTGTAACGTGGTGGCGGTTCCTTCCTTCGCACTCTCGTGAGCCGTTCGGCGGTGCCGCCTCAGCCCGATCCGCCGGTGGGTCCTGTGGGGCAGAGCTGCGCGTGGGAAGCCCAAATCCTCCCGCTAGGATCTGATGTGAGTTGTTAGCTGCTGGGTCCCGCGGAAACTCCCTGGCAGGGAAGCACAGGAGGAAGCATTCCTCTCTGCTGGGACGCGTCCAGTGCGCATCCGTGAGCCCATGACTTTCAGTTGTCGTTTCCCATCCCTTTCAACCAAAGGGATTTGTTATCCCCGTGTAAGTGAGGCAAGAGCTGCAAGTGTCCAGGTAGCCGCGCTTGTGTAGAGGCCATGGCTGGTTCCTAAAGCTCCACGCAGTTTCTGTCTCCCCGAGGAGAAGGCACCGCGCTCCGTGTGCCCCGTGTACTCCATGCGCTCCGAGGCCGCTGGCCACAGCCCTGACCGCAGGGCGCAGGTGACTGTCCTGTGTTTTCTGTTACAGATCTGCAGAAAAGCTGGCACTACTGGTGAATAAAACCACAAGGAGAAAATGACCTTGAGGAAAGGTATGTGTGCGTGATTTGTTTCTAACTCTTTTGTGCTTTTCGGAGGTTCCTGGTCTTTCCAGTTATTTTAATAGCCTTTTTTCCCCCCCCCCACCTTTTTAAATTTCCAGTGAACATTTCCATCCTCATAGTGGTGGTTGTTATATTTCTGTTAGTTCTTCATCATAATCTCCTAGGCCTCAGCGACTTCTTGAAACGGGAATTGTCAGGTATGTTGAGCTTTTATTTTATTCTTTTGTGTGTTTTTAAAACCAATGGGAAAATATGTGCTCTGGCAAGGCATAAACCACTTTGCTACAGGAATAACTTGTGTGATAATGATTGATCATCTGCATCACAGGATACATTTTTGCACTCTAGTAAATAGAATATTCTATGGAATATAGAATAGCATATGAAAATATTTGGAGACATTGTGAATTTTAACATAGTAATAATTACTGTATTCCATTTTGCATAAAACAAATATGCCAATCTTATTCTGCAGATTCAAGCCCATTAGGACTCCAACCTATAGATTTCATCCCTGCAATTCCCCAGAGGTTGATAGATGGAAGGAATGATAAGGAGATTTCTGTGGTCATCGCAGCATCGGATGAGAGGCTCGGGGGTGCAATTGCAGCCATGAACAGTATTTATCAGAACACCAGATCCAACGTGGTTTTCTACATTGTTACTCTGAATGATACTGTGGATCACTTGAGGTAATGATTTTTTCCATTAGACTCCCACGATACTGTCAAACTTGATCTCATCCTCTTCTGAAAGATGCTTTGCCCAGTGCTGCCCTCCCGAATGTGCCACGTGTGTTCATGTGTCATAGCACGCAGCAAGTCCCCACAGTCATAAGGGACCCCACTGAAATGATGACTTAGACTCCATGGAATCCATATGTTTTTTAGAGAGGGAAATGAATGGCCAGATGAAGATTTGCGTTACAGTAAATATGATATCAGGCTTCTCTTTGATTTTGTTTCATTCAACAAAATCTTTGCCTTTCTGCTGTTCGCAGGCTGTGGCTGAGTAACACTGCTCTGAAAAATCTGAAATACCGAATTTTGCATTTTGATCCAGGTGTCTTGGAAGGGAAAGTGCAAGTGGCCTCTGGAAAGGCAGACACCTTGAAACCGGTGAGGCTCTTAGCTCCTTTTTGCAAATAGTGGTTAGTAACAACAAATGTTGATGACTGCCTCCAGTGGCTTTTGAATTCAACTGGAAGTGAAGGAATCTTCAGATTTCTGCAGAAAAAATCTTTTATTATCAAATTCCTACAATTACACTAAGAGCAAACTTTCAGATAGTAGGAGATGAATTTAAGTATCTATAGATGCACCTATTAGTAATATTTTTTGCCAATTTCTACAGTGAGATCTAGCAGCTTGCTTGTCAAACATGCCAGAAATATGCAAATGTAGGAAATCATAATGTCGATGAGTTTTAAAAGTCATTTTGTCAATGCGCATGTTCCTAGGAAACTGGGCTTTATTAAATTGATGGAACATGTTTGTATCAAATAACTCCTAGGATATTGCTGCCTGTTTTGCTTCTTGGATGTTAGGTAAGTGTCGAGAGTATCAGTCAACTTCACATTTATTTGAACAATTCCTTATTTTTCTTACTCTCATGCTTTCACAGTTAACATTTGCAAGATTCTACTTGCCCAGTCTGGTGCCTCATGCAGAGAAGGCCATCTACGTGGACGACGATATCATCGTGCAAGGTATGGAGACCTTCCTTCCTTTGCCAGTCCTCTCTATGCTGGGGTTAGGACAGTGCCTTGGACAGCAACCAAACATGTCTGCTTCGAAGGAAGATGTAAAAATTCTGTAAATATGAACAAACTGGATTAAACCAACTGCTTTTATCAGCTGTAGGAATGGACTAAACAAAAAGCCACCTAAGCCTTATGCAAGATGATGGCTTATAATTCTTCTGTGCTTATTTCATTTTTTCAGATGATATTCTTGAACTTTACAACACTCCACTGAAACCTGGACATGCAGCTGCATTTTCAGATGATTGCGACTCGACAACTAATAAATTTGCTGTTCACGGAGCAGGGAATCAGGTTGGATTTATTCTGATTCAGTAGTAACAACAGTGCAGATTCCTTCCTTTGGAACTGGGCACTTGGTTGTTCTAACATTTTTGCAGGTTGTCTTCCAAATGCAGTGGAAGTAGAAAGTAGAGGTCTGACTGTACCTACTCAAATCAGTTTACTCTGGTATTTGTGTTACAAATTACACCTACAGTTTCTAGTGAGGCACACAAAAAGTATTTTCAGTTCTTCTGTGCTTTATGATGCTCAGTTTGGAACAGCAGGAGTTCTTGAACAATGGAAAGGCAGTTTTTTTAATTTGTGAGTGTATAAAGGAGGTTTTTCAGGGAGTGGTATTGATTGTCTCAGATTGTGGACATTAAGAATAGGTAGTGTTCCTTAATTACATAGTTTCTGTAATCATGTTTGGCATCTTAAGCATTTTCCAATGCATTAAAAGAAGAGAAAGTTGCTTTAACAGTTTATGGCATGCCGGACTGTTAATAGCTGTAAAAAAAACTTTCTTTAAGTGAATTTGATGATATTTTAAATTAATCTCTACTCTTTTTTTTCAGTATAATTACATTGGATTTCTAGATTACAAAAAAGAAACCATCCGAAAGCTTGCCATGAAAGCCAGCACCTGCTCTTTCAACCCAGGAGTTTTTGTTGCCAACTTGACCGAATGGAAATTACAAAACATCACCAAGCAGCTGGAGAAGTGGATGACACTGAATGTAGCGTAAGTGCTCCCAAAGCGGGGCTGCCTGGGCCAGGGGCTGTGTTATGGTGATGCCGTTTCACCGTGAAATGAAAGGCCATGTAGATGTTTGCAGCTTCACACATGCTACCTCCTGTTGTGTAGCTGTGAGTGAAATCAACCCCTTTAGGGCTGTAGCCTTTGCCAACGTCTTTGTCTCTTCCCTTGAAGAGAGGAGCTGTACAGTCGGACTCTGGCAGGCAGCATCACTACCCCTCCGCTGCTCATCGTGTTTTACAAGCAACATTCCAGCATTGATCCCATGTGGAACGTCCGGCATCTTGGTAAGTATGAAACACTTGGGACCCTTCATTTGCTCTCCCCTTATGTGTTTTCAGATCTGTACTTGGACTTTTGGTTGAGGATGTGGCAAAGGGATCTTTTCTTTATATTCCATGCTTTAAGGCACAATCCGCTTTGCAGTATCACCTTGCACCTTGGTCCTCTGGGTTCCTTTTTCAACTGCTTGCCCTTGAATGGACTTGCTCCCAAGTTGCCCTTTTTTTCCCACATATGTATTGCATCAGGAGTGTTCCTAGATATTTCTTCCTAGCTTGTTCGGAGGAAGAGACATTGTATCTGTTTTGCTGCTGGTAAAACTCAGGTGCTGAAGAGGGACTTCTTTGGTTTTGAATACAGCAACCCTGAGAGTGTTTTAAAAGAGCTTGGAAGTTCAAGCAGTACAGTAAGATAGATTAGCTCTGAGACTGATCATAGCAGCATCTAATTGCACCTCAGCATGTCTTTCAGTTTGCCTCACGTACCAAATCCTTGCTCCATAAATGTCAGGAAATTCTTTTTTTAAAAAAAAAAAAAAAACTTAATACAGCACGTTGGTATTCCAGCTACCTTTTATCAGGCACTAATCCTCCTTTTTCTGTCTAGGGTCTAGTGCTGGAAAAAGATACTCTCCTCAGTTTGTGAAATCTGCTAAGCTGCTCCACTGGAACGGACACTTCAAACCGTGGGGACGAACGGCTTCGTACGCCGAGGTCTGGGAGAAGTGGTACGTTCCTGACCCCACGGGCAAGTTCAGCCTGCTCCGCAGGCACTCGAAAGCCCATGAAGCTAAGTAGAAGAAATCGTATTCACCGATGGCATTTCTCAGGAAACCTTTGGACTCGAGCAGGTTTTTTTCAGCCAACTAGTGTTATAAAGCAGTCCTTGCCTTCTCAAGCACACAGAGATGCGCTTAGGCAGCTGTAGTGCTTGTAACCCAAAATATGCAGTCCCAAAGAAGCCTCATTTTGCCTGTGTGACTGAAGATGCTTCTCTGGCAGCACTTCAGAAAGCAAAGGAACATCTCCATAACTTAGCATTTTTGTTAGTTCATTTGTCTGTTGTACGTTCTTCTGTTCCAGTACAAATCTTTTACAAGAATGGATTTTCTGGTCAGCTACAGAAATAAATAGTTCCAAATAACAGGTTGCTTGCACCATGCAAGTCTTTCACAGTAAGGTACTGTAATTAAGAGCTGCAGATTTATTTTTGTTATTATTATTGTTGTTATTGATGTTTCTTGCTTTCTTATTCTGTGAAATAGTTTACTCAGCAATACTTTCTTGCATGAGGATTCTTCTCATACATTTCTGTTTAAGTCTTTCTGAAAAAAAGGAATCTGGGCTTTTGGCTAGTTTTCAAATATGATTTCACTACATGGAGTGGTTTTAACTGCCAGTGAACACTAAACATTTTGTGTAAAGCTGTGGAGAAAACTTTTTTTTTTTTTTCAAAAATAAAAGCTGATTTTAACATCTTGACTCCAATCTCAGCAAAATGGCAGTCTCTAAAATTTTAGTGTGGTACTGGAAGCTTGTTTCCATTGCACTTAGGGTATTAAGAGATTGAAGTTGAAGTCAATTGTTCTAAGCTTTGAGAGGCAATCTCATTCCAAAAGGATGTGTTTACCTTTTGGCTTGGGTGACATGAGTTACAGATTTAATTTTGCTGTTAAGTTACTCTTAATTGACTCTCAGGTGATATTCTGCTAAATAAATTTTTCCCAACATGCTTCAGTTGGCCCTTTTAAATTCCTCAAGCCAGAAGGTATTTCCCTGTTGTAGCCTGCTGCCCAGCACCTTATTTTCTATAGGTAAGTAGTTAAGAATTGTAGTCTTGTGTCTGAGTGTTAATTAGGTGATATATTCTAGTAGCTGTATTGCCAATTATTCCTTTTAATAGAGGGTTGAATTCAAATTGGGATCATTTTCGCTGTATTTAATCTTGTGAACACTGTCCTCAATAGACTTAGTGTAAAATGTTTAAAGAAAAGGCTCTGCATTAATAATGATGGGGAATAGAGACTGGCTGAGATAGAGGGCAACCATGAGCTAAAGGGCATTTTTATGTCTATATGTGTTTTAAGTACTAGCCTATAATTTAAAGGGATTTTCTAGCCTAAAAAATGCCTGACGTTTTGTACTTGTTGCTTATAGTTCTCATTGCTTATCCATTGCTGTTTTTTGTGGATTCTGATGCTGTGTTCAGTTACTTCTCCATCGCTTCTCTCTCTGGCTTTTGATGACTAAGAGCAATTAGGGTGCAATAAGCAAATGAGGGGGGAAGCCGTACCAAAGCCCATAGGATCTCTCCGGCCCAGTGCGCAGGGAGGCCCTCAAAGGCTGCACGAAAGCCAATATGGCCCCCCTGGGCCAGAGAGCACGGAGGCCCCAGGAGGCTGCACCAAAGCCTCTAGGGCCCCCCCAGGCCTCCTGGGGATTGTGTGTGCAGTAGGCAGGAGGGCCCTACGGGCTTTCATGCAGCCTCCCGGGGCCTCCGTGTACACTGTGCTGGAGAGGCCCTAAGGTCTTCATTTGGCCTCCAAGGGCATCCGTGCACACTGGGGCTGAGGGGCCCTGTGGGCTTTCGTGCGGGCTCCTGGAACCTCTGTGTGCACTGGGCCAGGGGGGCCCTATGCGCTTTCGTATGGCCTCCCGGCACCTCTGTGCCCACAGGGCCAGGGGAGCTCTATGGGCTTTTGTGCAGCCCCCAGCGGCCTCTGTGTGCACTGGGTGGGGGTGGTCCTATGGGCTTTCATGTGGCCTCCCGGGGCCTCCATGCCGGGGGGTCCCTGCGACCTTTTGTGCAGCCTCCAAGGGCCCCCATACGCAATGGGCGGGGGGGCGGGTCCTACGGGCTTTCGTGCTGCCTCCTGGGGCCTCCGTACACACATGGCCTTGGTGGCCCTACAGGCTTTTGTGTAGGTTTTGGGGACCTCTATGCGCCGCCCTGGGCTGCGGGGGCCCTACAGGCTTTTGTGCAGCCTCCTGGGGCCTCTGTGTGCAGTGGGCTAGGGGGACCCCATGGGCTTTGGTGTGGACTCCAAGGGCTTCCTTGTACCCTGTGCTAGACGGGCCCTATGGCCTGCGTTTGGCCTCTGAGGGCATCTGTGCACG